GTATGTTTCTATGTATGCGTGTTTATTCATGAGCATGTGCTTTGCTATGGAAGAGGTCATTATTCCCATGCTGTGTGCCAGGCATTGAAGCTGCCCGTGACCTCCAGGTTAACAAGCCAGAGACCAGAGGAGCAACAAAACACACAAATGCACTCGCGCATATGCAGAGCTATGGCTTGATGCTTTCCAGACGCGCCCTCTCTTTCGCTCCCTCCTACATTGCCTGGCACTCTGGTTCTCCCCACTTTTCACATCTCCCACACACACACTAACACCTCCCTCATCTCACTCAACCCTGCTTATCAAAGTTTTTGCTTCTTCAGCTTCCCTTTCCCATGCACAGACAAAACACTGCACAGTGAAATTCTTTTCTTTCTTTCTTCTTCACTCATGCTGCTGTTGAATCCTCTTTATGATTCACAGTGATTAAAATCTGAAACTCCTACAAAAACTATTTATCAAGTGCAACTTAGATAGAGGTACTGATAGACAGTAAGCTAGACAAGCACATTGAAGGTCAGACAGACAAACAGAAACACGCATGTTGACCTCAGGATTTGGCTGAACTTTAAGGAGTATTAACCGCCTCGCAGTGGACACTCACCCTTGAGCTTTCCTCACTCCTGCCAAAGTATAGGTCAGCGGACCTTTCAACAAACTCACACACACACACACCTGCACACGGAGGCGAAGACATAATGATAAAAGTGATGAAAGTGTATGATCCGAGGGCCTAGATAAATGCCATTGTTTTGATGGCACCTCGTAAATACAGCATCCAGACAGGCTATTACTGCAGAACAGGTTAGGGCCAGTTAGTGCTCTTCGAGCAGGGTGATGAATGAGAAGGTAAAAGTGCAATCACTCTCTGTGCTTATCTTTATCTCTCTCTATCAATATTGCTGTCTTTCTCTCGTTTTTTGCACCCCCCGTTCTCTCTATTAGAGACACATTGATCACCAGCCGCTGGCATATCACCTGAGTAATGGCTAAGGGTGTCTGGGCTTTAAAACAACCCCAGTAGAGCGCCAAGAGCTTTATCACGGCGACAAGGCAAATGGTTGCTCTCATAATAAAGTGCGCCTGCATATGTGTGTGTGTGAGTGTGTGTGCAATCATGATGCAGGGGACTTTGCTATTAAGAGGAGACATCAAACACAAGCCAATAAGTATCACAGACCACCAGACCTGCCACAAAGCGCAGCACTCATAGACCACTTTAACTCATTAATAATGTTTCCAGTATGTGTATGTGCGTGTGTGTTTTTGGTTCAGCCACTCTCAGTAATCTCAAGGGATATTTAGACTTTAACCCTTTAACTTACAGTCTCCCCCATTTTCTTCTCGTAGGTAACTTTAAAAGAATAACCACTTTCACTTTCTAGACTTTCTGTTATTGATACAGCCAGCAGACATTAGCTTAGCTTAGCATAAAGACTGCAAATGGGGAAATGGCTAAGCTGACTCTGTCCAAAGGTAACAAAATCCACCTACGAGTCTCTCTAAAGTTCACTTCTAATTGGTCATTTATATGTTGTTTGCTCTTGACTCCAGGAAGTCACTGCATCTGGATAGCTGCTTCCCCTGTTCTCAGTCTAATGCTAAGCTAAAGCTAACCAGCTGCTGGATATAGCCTCATATTTGATATTTAGACATGAGAGTGGTATCAGTCTTCTAATCTAATTCTCAGCAAGAAAGTAAACATACGTATTTTCCAAATGTCTAACTATTACTTTTTGACAGTACCACATTCAGTATTTGTTCTGTATCTGCTTATTCCAGCTCTTCATTGAAGCCACATGATGTTTACTCTGGGAATGAAATGGCCTGACTATTCATAATAGAAATTATATTGTAATATAGTTTTCTTGTATCATTTTACAAGAATCTTTCCAAAATTCTGTGTCGAGTTTCTAATGATACAATGTATGCTATACGTTGTCACTGGAAACTTTCTATTCCACTAGAATTTAAAATAATGTCAATCAACAAAATGAACGGAATGAAGTAGAAAGGAAAAAGATAGAGAGCCCACAATTCCAAAACCATGTTGCTGTTTTTTATCCTCTGTGTTCTTTTCCACTGGTTTATTTTTCTTTAAGCAGAGGGCAGTCAATGTGAGAGGGCAGGGGGAAGGTGGCTGTGGAGCTCAGTCGCTGGGGGAAGAGAGAGCGAGTGCCACGTTTGTGTGTGTGTGTGTGTGTGTGAGAGAGAGAGAGAGTAGGTGTGTGT